CAGAAAAAAAGGAAATGAAAAAAGCAAATGAATTAAACTTGTTAGGATAGTGAAAGGATGTGTTTCTTAGACACTAGTGGAAATGCATTTAGAACTATAGTTACTATTGTTGCTGTTGTTAGGTGCCGTTGAGTCAATTCCAACTCATAGAGACCCTGTATAGGATTCTGTGAATCCTTTATGGGAGTAGAAAGCCTGTGAATAGGCTGTGAATCTTTACGGGAGTAGAAAGCCTCATCTTTCTCCTTCTGAGTGTCTGGTGGACTTGAACTGCCTACCTTGTGGTTAGTAGTCCAGTGCTTATCTTATAGCACTACCAGTGCTCCCAGGAAACTATAATTAGACAACAATAAATTTAAATACCAATTTGAAATGATGTGTATTGGCTGTGGGAAAAGTCAAAACTACCATGTTGCTAGTGAGAAAGAAAAAAAAGATGGCAGTGAGATTTAACTGAATTATTTAGCAGAAGTATTAATATGTGTGAGAAGTTCCTGACAACCCCACTGTAAACTATGGGAAACTTCTCTTTGAAAGTTCCAGTTCTAAGAGCTGTTTATGAAAGATATTCAACATTTCATGATTCATACCCTGAAGTTAATAGTTTGCCTTGCTTTTTTCTCTTTTGTTTGTAGTGTTTAATTTATCAATCTTAAGTAGGGAAAGCCGTGTACTTCTGTGGAAAGGTGAGATGTTTGCAGGTGAGCAACAAGGTTCTGAGCATATAATAGACATTCAGTATATACTTCCTGCTTCATTCATTCATACATTGGTCATTCTTGTGACAAATAGTGGAGTACCTGCTGTGCCAGGCTCCATCTAAGTGCCAGACACACAGCAGTCAATGAAAGAAACACAATTTCTAATGTCATGGAGCTTTCTACAGTGTATGAATTATCACTGACAAGTTGTAAAAGTTATCTGTGGATTTTATTTATCTGTGGTGTCACTGTCACATCTATCTACTATTGACAAATCGGATAATTTATTGGACATGTATGTCTTCTGGTTCATTCAAAAGAAGGTAAGTTATTTGTCAAATCATTCTTGGAATGTGGTATTTAGAAAACCTTTCATCTTTTAAAAGAAACTGCTTTGTGAGTTTTCCTAGTGTGTTCCCTTTATCATTGATAATGAAAAATATCTAATTTTTTAAATTCCTTTTTTAAACTGTGGTTGAAAATATACACAGCAAAACAAACCAATTCAACAATCTCTGTACGTGCAATGCAATGGCATTTATTATATTCTTCAAGTCATGTAACCATTCTCACCATCCCTTTCCAAATTGTTCCTAACTCCTTGCCATAAACTCACTATGCTATAAGCTTCCTAGCTAACCTTTTAATTTGTGCTGTCATTTTGATCTCATATACATAGCTCTTTAAAAGAGCACAATGCTCAAGGCAGACGTTCCTTACCACTTAACTAAACGGTTCTTTGGTTTAAAGCTGATTTCAAGAGATACTTTTGGATTCAGTTTTAAAGATAATCTCAAAGCAATAGTTTCAGGCATTCATTAAATCTCAATGCTCCATAAATTCTGGATTTTTTACCTATGTACAATTGATGAATTGGGTAGTTTATTAGACATGTGTGTCTTCTAGTTCATTCAAAGGAAGGCAATTTATACTTTAAATCATTCTTGCTATATGGTATTTAGAAAATCTCTCATCTTTAAAATAAATTTCTTTGAGCGTTTTCCTGGATTGATTGATTTACCCACTATAAATGTTGTTGCTGTTGTTGTTGTTGTTATGTGCCGTGAAGTCTCATAATGACAGGGTTTTCCGAGGCTGTAAATCTGTACGGGAACAGAAAGCCTCATCTTTTGCCTGCGGAATAGCTGGTAGTTTCGAACTGCTGACCCTAAGGTTCACAGCCCAATTCGTAACCACTACGCTCGCTACCAGAGCTCCTGTTGTTGCTATTAGGTGCCATCAAGTCAGTTCCAACTCACAGCGACCCCTATGCACAGCAGAAAGACACACTGCTTGGTCCTGCTCAACCCTCACAGTCATTGTTAGGCTTAAGGCCATTGCTGCTGCCACTGTTCCAATCTAGCTCATTGGGGGTCTTTCTCTTTTTCGCTGACCCTCCATTTCTCCAAGTGTGTTGTCCTTCTCCAGAGGCTGGTCCCTTCTGATAATATGTCTGAAGTATGAGGCACAGTCTTGCCACCCTGGATCCTAAGGAATATTCTGGCAGTACTTCTTCCAACACAGATTTATTTGTTCTTCTCGAAGTTTATGGTATTTTAAAAATCTCCAACATCATAACTAAAATGCATTACTTCTTCTATAGTCTCCTTATTCACTGTTCAACTTTCACATGCATGTGAGGCTACTGAAAATACCATGGTTTGGGTCAGGCACACTTTAGTCCTCAAACTGACATCTTTGCTACACTTGAATGAGGTCTTGGGCAGCAGATTTGTCTAATGTAGTATGCCATTTGATTTCTTGATGGCTGTGTCTGTGAGTGTTGATAATGGATCGAAGCAAGTTTCAGAATCTCTTCTGACATCTATTTTGGTCTTTTCTTTCTTTCTTGTCTTTTTAATGACCTTTTGCTTTCTTTCTGTATGCTGTTCTTGGTGTCATCCCACAATTATTCTAGTTATCAGTCGAATGCATCAAATCTGTTCTTGAGATGATTTTTAAATTCAAGTGGGATGTATTTAAAGTCATATAATGGCTCCTATAGACTTGTTTTAATTCTTTCAACTTCAACCTGATCTTGCGTATGAGCAATTAATGGTCTGTTCTACAGCGTTCCGCTGGCCTTGCTTTGGTTAATGATCTGAAGCTTTTCCACTATTATCTTCTCACAGACATAGCCAATTTCATTCTTCCCACATACATGTTGTTGTTGTTAAGTGCTGTTGAGTCGATTCTGACCCATAGAGGCCCTGTATAGGGTTTCCAAGGAGCAGCTGGTGAGCTTGAACCGCTGACCTTGCAGCTCAAATGGCTTGCAGACTAGTGCATTAACCCACAGCACCACACCAGGACTCCTTCCCACAGATACAGTCAATTTGATTTCTGTGCATTCCATCTAGTGAACTCCATCTTTTATGTTGTTTTAAAAAGGTACTTACAATGAAGTCATTGGTTTTGTAAAATTCTAACATGCGATTTCCAGCATCATTTCTATCATCAAAGCCATATTTTACAACTACTGACTCTTTCTCTTTGTTTCCAATTTTTGCATTCTAAACACCAGTAATTATCAATACATCTTGATTACATGTTTCATCAATTTCAGTTTGCAGAAATTCTTCAATTTCATCAATGGTGGATGCATAAATATGAATACTGATATTCACTGGTTTTAGTTGTGGGCATATGGATATTATGCCATCACAGACAGCACTATACTTCAAGATAGGTCATGAAATGTTCTTTTTGATAATGAATGTGATGCTATTCCTCTTCAAAAGGTCATTCCCAGCATAGTAAATCATTTGATTGTCAGATTACCAAGGTCAATACCAGGCCATTTGAGCTCAGGATCTTTATGCATTCAATTTCATTTTCACAACTTCCAATGTTCCTTGATTCATACTTCAGACATTCCATGTTCTGATTATTAATGGATGTTACAGCTGTTTCTCCTCATTTTAAGTTGTGCCCTATCACCAAATGAACGTCCTAAAAGCTTTACTCCATTTGCATCGTCATGGTCAGCTCTACTTTAAGGAGGCAGCTCTTCCCTAGTCATATTTTGAGTGCCTTCCAACTTGAGGGACTTATCTTCTTATACTATATCTAATAATATTCTTGTGCTATTCATCATGTTTGAATAGTCAGTATTCTGATGCTATGCATCATATTTCAACATTCAATATTCTGGTGCTTCCTATAGTGTTCCAGTACTATCCAGAAGGTTTTCAGAGACTAAACATTCAAAAGTATCCTGCCTCTCATTCTTCCTAGTCTGTCTTAGTCTGGAAGCTCAGATGAAACCTGTTCACTATGGGTGACCCTGCTGGTATTTAAAATACCGGTGGCATAGCTTCCAGCATCACTGCAACACACAAGCCACCACAGTACAACAAAGACCTGACAAATTAGGTGGGACTGTCTTGAGACATCCTGGACATTACATGCGCTTCCATGTTGAGACTCCTTATTTTTCTCAAGTTCTGCCATACATGTTCCTGGCAGACACTATGTGTAATATGCTGTTAGGATTGAGAAGTACACTGTTCCAAACATTATGTCTGTTGAGAAACATAACTCCAAGCCCAATTTGATGGTCGTTTGCCTACTAATAAAGCCAAACTAACTAGTTGTTTGATTTTCTTTAATTCCTGCATCTTCCTTTCCTCATTTCCACTTGTTAAACGAAGATCACCCATCTAGAGGAAAACACATGCAGGACTTCTCTCCACAGAGGCCAAAGTCTGTGCTAGAAAATCTCTTGCAGATTAAATCTAAAGAAAAAGTAATGAGTACAGCCCAGAGTGTGAACTCCTCTTGCATTCAGTAAACTGATTAGTTGAACTGTTACTGTTTGAGCTATTTCAACAATGACTGTGGCTAAATAAAAAATAACCTGAGAGGAACAAGTCAAAGTATGACTGAATCCTTTTTTTTTTTTTTTTACTATTATGCAGTCAAATTATTATTATTAATAATGCTATGTGTGTGCATGTTTGGGGGAAAGGTTTACTCAGCAATATAGGTTCTTGTTAAACAATTTCTATACGAAGTGCTCAGTGACACTGGTCATTCTTTACATTTTAATGCCAATGTGTGAACATTCTTGCAATTTGAGTTCTGGTTGTTTTGTTTCCATTCATCTAGCTTCCCTGCCCCCTTTACATTCTCGTGTTTGCTTTAAAGTAATTGTTTACCGTTTGTCTCATATAGGTGATTTCTTAGTGGGATGATTGACTTCTGATTGAGAATTTTATATTAAGAATATACCAGTTTTATTATTTGCACAGTAAAACTGAGGGGCTTTGATGAAAATGAAGAAAAGGAGGGTCTTACTTCTCAATCCTCCGTGCCTTGAATAGTACTTGGCTTGGGGCAGTAAACTGTTTCTGCTGAGCTCTCCTGACATCAAGCCGCCTACTGGGAAATTCCTTTTAATGCTCCAAACCCCTTCCAAGGCCACTGTTAATAATTTCAAAAAGCAAGATAATGATTATTAACATACTCTGTATTTAGCACAAAGTCTTTTTAAACTATTGAATTAGTGATCCCCCCCCCCTCAATTCTTTAGGAAGTTTATTTGGTTTGATTAACCCAGGTATCTGAGTTATTTACCATTTGCTCAATCCTTTATTTCAGTGTATTAATTAAAAATTTCCCCATGTACACATTAAATCTCTATAGTGCTATTAAGATAAGTTAACTTGTCCCCAAATAAATAAGATGAGAAGTCAGTATAGAAACATCCATCACAAAATACAGCAGGATTGGGAAAACAATAGGCAGTGCATAGACATCATTCAGTCAACCATTCCTGATTCTGATTCTGACTTAACTCTTAGGTTTGTGAATATTTCCAAGGATAGAACCAAAATTAATTCATCCAATGAATCCTCAAATTTTACAAAACCTTGAACTAGATGGTATTTAATTCACTCTTTAAGGAAACAACAAAATCACTGGATCCCATACTTGCACCAATATAGCAAAATATTTGGAAAGTAATATCTGCAGATACATACAAAACAAATTTTTAGATATTGATTGTTCAATAGATATTGATCAGCAGTTTGAATCTACCAGTAGCTCTGTGGGAGGAAGATGAGGCTTTCTGTTCCCATCTAGATTTAAAGCCTCAGAAACCTTATAGAGAGTCGCTATGAGTTGGAACCGACTCCACAGCACACAGCCACACCACCAGTCACCATATGGAGCCCTGGTGTGGTGCTGTAGGTTAAGCACTGGACTGGTAACCTCAAGGTAGGCAGTTTAAACCCACCAGTCATTCTTAGAAACCCTACACGAAGTCGAGCCATGAGTTGGAACTGACTCGATAGCACTTACTAACAACAGCGCCCCCCCCCCCCCATAACTAAAACCAGGCATTTAGGTTTTGAGAGTCAGTCATTAAGTAGTTGCAGAAATTTGGTAATCTGGTGCACAAAACTTCTGCTAAAGTCAAGAAAAGTGGTAAGGTATTGCTGTGAGTTGTTTTCCCCATTTCTGAGGCTGCAAATTTTGTCAAAGACTCCTCCCCCCTTTGTGTGTGTGTGTGTGTGTGTGTGAGAGAGAGAGAGAGAGAGAGAGAGTATGTACAGTCAAAAATATCTCATTTCAACAATTTCTTTGTGGATCATCCAGTGAAACTAGTCACACTCTTCAAGTTCTATTACCATCCTTTTCCAAACTTCCCCATCCCCAATACCTAAACCTACTGCCCTGTAAGTTTTCCATCCAACCTGTAGAACTAACAATGGTCAGTGTGATCTCACATAGGTAATTCTTTTAATTACAATACTCAAAGCAGGTATACTTTACTAATTAAGAGAAGCTATTTTTGGTTCAAATACTTTAGAATATATTGATTTAAGGTTTAAAGTTGAAAGATTATCTCCGGCAATAGTTTCAGGAGTTCATCCTGTCGCAATAGCTCTAGAAACATTGGATTCCACTGAGCTGAAGCTGAACATTTTAATGTCAAATACTCGTTTTCTCCGTAGATCCAAGCTGACATTTGATCCCTCCATAATGTGGAATGATTAGGAGCACAGTCTTTGGGTTCAGATGAGATCTGCACTATTACTGGTTGTGGAGTCCTGGTGTGGCACTGTAGGATAAGCACTGGACTGCTAACTGCAAGATCAGTGGTTTAAACCTACCAGGAGCTCTGGTAGCATACTGGTTACGAATTGGGCTGTGAACCTCAAGGTCAGCAGTTCGAAACTACTAGCTGTTACGTGGGAGAAAGATGAGGCTTTCTGCTCCCATAAAGATTTAGAGCCTCAGAAACCCTGATAGGGTCACTATGAGTTGGAATCGACTCGATGGCACATAACAACAAAAACAGTCACTCCTTGGAAACCCTATACACAGAAATCTATTCCATGGCACTTAGTAATAACAATAATTACCAGTTGTATGACCTTGGGTAAGTTATAACACTATATCTCAGTTTTCTCCTATTTGAAATGGGAATGAAATTATCTAACTTAAAAGATTATTAGACCCTTCCAAGACTAAGACTCAATGGGAATACATGCTCTGATTGGTGACCACGTTCATCACCGATAAGGGGAAGTGAGGGAAAAACAGCAAAGAAGTTGTGAACTAAGCCCTACAATGTTCAATAGACTCCTGTGAACCCAGGTGGAGACCTGGTTGGCAAGCAGTGTGGCAAGACCTGGGGACTCTTGGGCCCAGAGTCAGTGACATAGCCACAGAGGACTAGAATGGAGAGTGAAGCATCCAGCTGATAAGAAGAGAGGGCATAGGCATAAGAACACCCACACTTGCAGATAATACCCACTTGTCCTGGCTTCAATGACTGGATAATCAGTGCTCAATTAGAAGAAGAAAGAAGAGGAAAAAAGGAATAATCTGATACAATTTGATGAACTTGACCTCAAAAGAGGGAACAAATCTTCACAAAGAGGATCATTCCCATCCCCTCCATACACAGAGTAGACAGGGATGGGCAACTTTGACATTGGCTACCCAAAATAGGGGAGAGGGGGCTACAGAGGTAAGAAGTGACTGGCTTACAAACTTTCAAGAGGGAGCCTAGATCCAGAGGGCGTGGAGGAAGGTAGAATCTCTACTGAGTAGTATGCAATCTCTCAGGGCAGGGCTGATGAAAGGAGATGCGGATAGGTATCTTGTGATACAATAGTAAATAATTGTTATCAGGACTGACTGTGAGGGTTGGAAATGTAAAGCAGATGTTTTGTAGTAAAAGGAGGGGAGTGACTGACTTTGCAGTCTAGAAGCAGAGGTTCCTAGGACCATCAAGGGAGATGAGCGGAGAGTGGGCCCCTACCCAGAGAAGCAGTGATACCAAAGATGGAGACAGAGACAATGACTTGGAGATATGGAGTGGCTGGGGACTTTAGACCTAGAGAGGGACAGGGGCTGTGTGCTGACGATCAGGGGGCAGACTTGCAGGGTATACCCCTTGGTTGGTTGATGATGCATGGAGGGGATTGTAACCATGTCAGTGAAACGATATGTTGTTGTTAAGTGCCGTTGAGTCAATTCCGACCCATAGCGACTCTGTATAGGGTTTCCAAGGAGCAACTGGTGAGCTTGAACCACCAACCTTGCAGTTCAAGTGACTTTGCAGTCTGATGCATTAGCCCACAGTGCCACACCGATAGGATGAATGTAATACTAATGTTCTCCCGTGTAAACTATCACATAATTCACAATAAAACATTTTTTTAAAAAAAGATTATTAGAGTCTCTGAGAGGTGCACACTGTTAACATGTTTGGCTGTTAACCAAAAGGTTGGTGGTTCAAGTCCACCCAAAGGCACCTCATAAGAAAGGCCTGGTGATAAAATTTCAAAAAATGAGCCACTGAAAACCTTATGGAGCAGAGTTCTACTTTGATATGGGTTTGACTTGATGGAAACTGGGATTGTTGTTTGTTTGTTGTGTTTCAAATACACCAGCCACTCCTTGGAAACTCTATATGGGAGCCCTGTGAGTCAGAACTGATTCAACAACACTTAACAACTTAACAACAGCATGGTAGCATTTGGATGAAGTGGGTGTAAAGTGCTTTGCACTCGATAACTTGAAGCTGTTCTTTTTTTTTTCTGTATCAAAATTTATTTTTGATCTCTAAACAAGAATTTGTCCACATAGAATGTCCCCCCAAATACTGACTTCATAAACACATAAGAAATAACTGCAGCAACTAAAGACTCCATTTCTGAGGACTAAAATGCTTCCTGCATTGCCTAATGGTGACATGAATCGAAATAAAGAAAACAGAACAAGATGGCTGTCCTCACTGAGTCCTGGCCATCTTCTATCTTGTCTCTCCCAACTGCCTGCCTTCCATTTGCAATTTTGAGCTCTTTTTTAAGGGGGTGGGAGTGAGAAGAAGAAGGAATAGGAGCTTCTTTCTAATAAGATTAGAGAGATCAAAGAAAAGAAAGTAGCAAAGTAGTTTTACAAGTATAAGTAACATGTACATATGGATCTTTGTTTGAGGTCTCTAATCTCCTGGATCAGCACTGGACTGAAAACCCCATGTCAGCAGTTCAAACCCACCAGCTGCTCCTTGGACACCCTATACAGGGTCGCTATGAGTCAGAACTTACTTGATAGCACTTAACAACAATAAATCTCCTCCATTAGCCAGTTTATCTGACATTCCATCATTAAGCTGTTTATGATGTAAATAAGACGGTAAGTCAAAAAAAAAAAAAACATATATATTGCTACTAGGGCTCCAGTTTTGCACAGGCACAGGTTTATTCCCAATAGACTGTGTTTAAAAGGAGCTCTGGTAGCGTAATGGTTACGAATCGGGCTGCGAACCTTAAGGTCAGCGGTTCGAAACTACCAGCTGCTCCGCGGGAGAAAGATGAGGCTTTCT